ACACACACACACACACTGCAAAGTACAAACACAGATATGCCTTTCATGTTTTGACTCATTAGGACTGAGCTTGAGGTCCACTGCTGCTGAAAAGGTCAGTGTTTGTGCTGGGAAAGGTCCGGAAAAGGCAACAAAGACACGTAAACACACACACACACACACACAGTGAAACACAAACTGAGCAGTGAAACCACATCCCACAGGTTGGTTCTATCATGTACTGATCAATCACTGTCATGCAACCAGTTTACATGCAGGGCTGCAGGGAGGTGTTTGAACCATGCATGTTTCAAGGAAAGCAAAAAAAAAATTGCTCACATGACTGTTTTTGTATTGAGTGTTTAAAAAAAAAATATTCCTTTGACTAGACCACTCTAAAGTAATTTATAAGGAGCTGTAGAGCCACGAGCTGGTTAGTGTATAATATAATACAAAGGCAACAACATTTACAAACTTATGCAATGATTTGTACATAATTGTGGGTGCTTATAATTACATATTCAAATCCACACACCAGGCAATTTAAACACATGTTTAACAATGTGAGAAATGCACACATCACAACAAGAACAAATAATATTTTATGTGCAAATTTTCAACTCCATAGATCTGATTTTGTCATTTTTATTTTTCATTTGCTGATCACGTGTGCCCATTTTATGTGGCCCTGGCTGAAGGGATTATATAATCTTACATAATCCTGAAGAGGCATGTTTAGCTTTTACACCTTGATTCTTGAATGGATTAAATAACGTATATTTTAATAAATGAGCAATCATTTACCCGCTAAACCAAGTCTACGTCCACCTGGACAAGCCAGCAAGCACTGTGAAGGTCACGCTCTTTGACTTCTCCAGTGCGTTCAACACCATCAGGCCGACGCCGCTGGGTGAGAAGCTGACATAGATGCAGGTGGATGCCGCACTGGTGTCCTGGATTGTGGATTACCTGACTAGCAGACCACAGTATGTACGTTTACAGTGCTGCATGTCAGACAGAGTGGAGCAACATAGGGACTCCTCAGGGGACTGTCCTCTCTCCCTTTCTATTCACTCTCTACACCACAGACTTCAACAGATTTCTGATGACTCTTCAGTAGTAGGATGTATCACTGATGGTAATGAGAGTGAGAACCGGACGGTGGTGGACAACTTTGTCACATGGAGCTGTAAAAACCACCTACAGCTCAACGTGTCAAAGACAAAGGAACTGGTGGTGGACTTTGAGGTCGAAGGGGCCAGCGACCCCTGTTTCCCTCCAAGGGGCCAGTGTGGACATGGTGGAGAACTACAAGTACTTGCAGGTGTACTTAGCGTTAAACTAGACTGGTTGAAAAATGTGGACATGATTTACAAAAGAGGCTGCGGATGTTCTATGAGTCTATTGTGTCCAGTGCCATCATGTTTGCTGTTGTCTGCTGGGGCAGCAGCTTGAAGAAGAAGACATTAAAAGACTCAACAAGCTAATCAGGAAAGCCAGCCATGTTGTTGTTGGGG